AAATTCTGGCTGCCAATTTTACTTTAATGCTAGGAATGACTTTGGTTCCTTTCTTTGACTCTATACGCCTTTCCTTGTCTGTCTAATTTCTAATGATTCCATATTCCCTCCAGAGCTTAGAGGACAGGGGGAAGGGGAAAGTTTTATGTTGAGTATGTATGCTGTATATAATTAGGGTAACCGTATAATTTATAATCAAAACTGGTACACTTTGGGAGTAAAAAAGGTGTTATCAATAATTATACCCACACATCCAGCACGGCCCTGACAAACTAGGCCATATGGTCCCACTAACCTAAAACTAAAGTACTGCTTGCTTTCCCTTTGCCCTTGTTGCTTGGGCATATACCTCTCTCAGGGGTCTTGTGAGAAGTAGTGGTTAGAACTTGGAAATGAAGAGGCCTTCAAGGTGAATTCAGAGCTAGAACCCAGTGTAGCCTCTCTAATATGCATGGGACAAAGCCCAAGCAGCTTTGTGACTCATCAGTGGTTGTTGAAGCTGCTTTGCAATATAGCCTGCCAGATATGGTAACCCCTGGTGTTCATGCTGCAGCTGCACCAGGCTCAGGAACTAACCTGTGTGCTTTCTGATTTTTCCTACTTCTTGGAAACCCAATCCCACTATATAATTCATGGGTCAGAGTTCCCAGTGGGTGTGAATGATTAGTGGGTGTGAAATGGTCAAATAAGAATACACCAGGGCTGCAGTAACCAGGCTGGAAGTTGGACATTAGCACTTAAACCCTCCTGTCCCAGGGCACACTCAAAACACAAATGTGGCAAACCAGAGTCAAGGGCAGAGCACAGAATGCTCAAGTAAAGAAGCAACTGCTTTATGCATTCATCTGTCAGTGGACATTTAGGTTGTTTCCATGTCTTGGCTATTGTGAATAATGCTGCTGTGAACTTAGGGGTACATGTATCTTTTTGAATTACAGTTTTATCTGGATATCTGCCCAGGAGTGGGATTGCTGGATCATATGGCAACTCTGTTTTTAGTTTTTTGAGGAACCTCCATACTGTTTTCCATAGCAGCTGCATCAATTTACATTCCCACAAACAGTGTAGAGGGTACCTGTTTCTCCACACCCTCCCTAGCATTTACTATTTGTGGACTTTTTGATCATGGCCATTCTGACTGGTGTGAGATGATACCTCATTGTAGTTTTGATTTGCATTTCTCTGATAATTAGCGATGTTAAACATCTTTTCATGTGTCTGTTGTCTATCTGTATGTCTTCTTTGGAGAAATGTCTATTTAGTTCTGCCCATTTTTTGACTGGATTTTTTGTTTTTTTGATATTGAGCTGATGAGCTGTTTGTTATTTTAGAAATTAATCCCTTGCTATTTTTTAATCGAGTTTTTTTTTGGATGTTGAGTTGTATGAGCTGTTTATATATGTTGGATATTAACCCCTTATGAGTCATATCATTTGCAAATATCTTCTCCCATTCAGTAGGCTGTCTTTTTGTTTTGTTGATGGTTTCCTTTGCTGTGCAAAAGCTTTTAAGTTTAATGAGGTCCCATTTATTTATTTTTGCTTTTATTTACTTTACTTTAGGACATGGACTCAAAAAAATATTGCTGTGATTTATGTCAAAGGGTATTCTGCCTATGTTTTCCTCTAGGAGTTTTATAGTATCCAGTCTTACATTTAGGTCTTTAATCCATTTTGAGTTTATTTTTGTATATGGGGCTAGAGAATGTTCTAATTTCATTGTTTTACATGTAGTCCAGTTTTCCCAGCACCACTTATTGAAGAGACTGTCTTTTCTCCATTGTATATTCTTGCCTCCTTTGTCACAGATTAATTGACCATAAGTGCGAGGGTTTATTTCTGGGCTCTCTATCCTGTTCCATTGATCTATGTGTCTGTTTTTGTGCCAGTACCATACTGTTTTTATTACTGTAGCTTTGTAGCATAGACTGAAATCAAGGAGCGTGATTCCTCCAGCTCTGTTCTTCTTTCTCAAAATTGTTCTGACTATTTGGGGTCTTTTGTGTTTCCATACAAATTTTAAAATTATTTGTTCTAGTTCTGTGTAAAATGCCTTTGTTACTTTGATAGGGATTGCACTGAATTTGTAGATTGCATTGGGTAGTATGGTCATTTTAACAATAATGATTTTATTAATTTTGTCTTTTAACCTTCCTACTACCTTTCTAAGTGGTTGCTCTACTGCCTTCACTGTATGTTGGCCTTTACCAATGAGATTTTTCCTTTTGTAATTTTCATATTTCTAGTTGTGATCTTTTCTTTTCCACTTAGAGAAGTCCCTTTAACTTTTCTTGGAAAGCCAGTTTAGTGCTGCTGAACTCTTTTAAGGTTTGTTTGTCTGTAAAACTCTTTATCTCTCTTTCGAATCTGAATGATAGCCATGCCATGTAGAGTATTCTTTGTTATAGGTTTTTTCCTTTCATCACTTTGAATATATTGTACCACTCCCTTTTAGTCTGCAAAGTTTCTTTTGAAAAGTCAGCTTATAGTTATGTAACTTGTTGCTTTTCTCTTGCTGCTTTTAATAGTTTCTCTTTATCTTTTTTTAATATAAATTTATTTATTTATTTTTAATTTTTGGCTGCATTGGGTCTTTGTTGCTGCGTGCGGGCTTTTCTAGTTGCACTGAGTGGGGGCTACTCTTCGATGCAGTATGTGGGCTTCTCATTGCAGTGGCTTCTCTTATTGAGAAGCACGGGTGCGCAGGCTTCAGTAGTTGTGGCACACAGGCTCAGTAGTTGTGGCACACAGGCTTAGTTGCTCTGCGGCATGTGGGATCTTCCCGGACCAGGGCTTGAACCCGCGTCCCCTGCATTGGCAGGTGGATTCTTAACCACTGCTCCACCAGGGAAGTCCCTCTTTATCTTTTTGATATTTTAATTATAATGTATCTTGTTGTAGTCCTCTTTAGGTTCATCTTGTTTGGGACTCTTTGTGATTCTTGAGCCTGGATGTCTGTTTCCTGTCTCAGGTTAGGGAATTTTTCAGCCATTATTCTTCAAATAAGTTCTTGCCTCTTTTTTCTCTCTTCTCCTTCTGGGGCCCCTATAATTCAAATGTTAGTATGCTTGATGTTGTCCCAGAGGTTTCTTAAATGACCCTCATTTTTTAAATTCTTTTTTATTTTTTTCTATTCAATTTGGGTGATTTCCACTACTCTGTCTTCCAGTTTGCTGATCTGTTCTTCTGTATCATGTATTCTACTGTTGATTCCGTCTGGTGGGTTTTTTGTTGTTGTTGTTTGCTTGTTTTTGCCATATCATGGATCTTAGTTCCCCAACTAGGGATCAAACCTGCGCCCCCTGCAGTGGAAGCACAGAGTCCTAACCACAGGACTGCCAGGGAATTCCCTCTAGTGTATTTTTAAATTTTAGTTATTATATTCTTAAGCTCTGTTTGGTTCTTCTTTATGTTTTCTAATTTTTTGTTAAGATTCTCACTGTGTTCATAGAGGCAGTAATTTGAAAGGAGCCTAGTCAGACCCACCTGCTGATCTTGAAGGGCCTCCTGGTGAGGCAGGAGGCAACTAGGACTCCCACTGGGAATATAGGCACTGGCAGCAGCCATTTTGGGGAGCTCCTTCTATCATGAGGTCACTGGTGCTGGCAAGCGCCATACTGGAATCTTTCTTCTAGTGCATTAGCACCAGGAACTGACCCGTCCACCAGTGGACCAGCAGCAGTTCCAAGAACTCCCAGGCCACACAGCCATCTGTGCAGGGACCTAGCCCTTCCCACACATGGGCTGGCAGCCACCACGTGAGGCAGGACATGACATCCAATCAGGCTGGGGACTAGTCCCTCCTATCAGTGCACCCACAGTACTCAGCCCTGCCACAGCCTGGGTAGAGGGCATCCCTAGAGCATATAGCTCTGGTGACCAGAGGCAAGTATGCTGCTGGGCTCCATAGAATGTCTCATAGATAGTTCCTCTGTAAATAGTTGTAATTTGTGTATGTCCATGGGAGTAGGTGAACTCAGGGTCTTCCTACTCCACCATCATGGCCACCAAGCCTTCTCTAGACTGTTGCTTTAACAAGTTTATATCTTTCTGAAGGATACAAAGATATATCTGCCTTTCCATGTGTAGGCATATTATAGGCCACTGACACAGTAGAAATAGTATATGGGAGTATGTAACTTGCTCCATCAAAATTCCCTTATGCAGTAGTAAGTAGAACCTTGAGTACTGATATATCTCAACACTTGTGCTAATGGTATAAGAAAGAGGATAGGTGTGGAGGTAGAGGAAGGTAATATATGAACAGAGTCCTGAATGAACTGAGAAAGTGAACCATGTCAAACTCTAAGGAAGAGTGTTCTAGTCAGAGGGAACAACAAGTGCAAAAGAGGTGGACACATGCTTTAGTTTTGAGGATCAGCAAGAATGCCAGTGTGGAGAGAGAGGAGTAGGCAAAAGTTAGGGGAGCAGGCAGATCATGTGAAGTCTGATAGGCTTTCATAAGAATGAGTTTCAGTTTAAGTATGGCAGGAAGCCACTGAGAGTAAGCAAGGGAATTATCTGATCTGATTTGCATTTTTAAAAGCTCACCATGGTTGCTATATGGAGAATGAATATTTGGGGGCAAGTATGGAATCAAGAAAGACATTGCAACTGTACAGAAGTGGTGGCAGGGTGGAAGGAGTTTAGTATGGAAGGAGTGAATGAGACGGAAAACTTTGTTCTGTTTCCTGGCCAGAACCCCATCTCTGGTTCATCATTGCAATAATATTCTTAATATTATTTTAGGATTCCTTATTCTCCTGGGCCTTAAATAGACATTGTAGTACATGTAGAAATGCTTCTAGGTAACTTGAATGCTAGTTACAGTTGGAGTCTAAGAATTCTTTTAACGTTTTATTGAAGTATAGTTGATTTACAAGGCTTCAGGTGTATAGCAAAGTTATTCAGTTATATATATATATATATATATATATATATATATATATATATATACATTTTTAATATATATATTCATTTTCACTTTCTTTTCCATTATAGATTATTACAAGATAATGAATATAGTTCCTGTGCTATACAGTAGGTCCTTGTTGTTTATCTGTTTTACATATGGTAATGTTCAACTGTTAATCCCAAATCCCTTATTTATTCCCCCCCCCACTTCCCTTTTCCCTTGGGTAACCATAAATTTGTTTTCTATGTCTGTGAGTCTATTTCTGCTTTGTAAATAAATTTCTTTGTATCATTTTTTTAGATTCCACGTATAAGTGATATCATATGATATTTGTCTTTCTCTGTCTGACTTACTTCACTTAATATGATCATTTCTAGGTCCATCCATGTTGCTGCAGATGGCACTATTTCATCCTTTTTTATGGCTGAGTAATATTCCATTGTATGGATATATATATATATATATATATATATATATATACACCACATCTTCTTTATCCATTCAGCTGTTGATGGACATTTAGGTTGCTTCTATGTCTTGGCTATTGTAAATAGTGCTGCTGTGAACACTGAGGTGCATGTATCATTTAGAATTAGAGTTTTCTTATTTTCCAGATATATGCCCAGGAGTGGGGTTGCTGGCTCATATGGTAACTTTATTTTTAGTTTTTTAAGGAACCTCCATACTGTTCTCCATAGTGGCTTCACCAGTTTACATTCCCACCAACAGTGTAGGAGGGTTCCCTTCTCTCCACACCCTCTCCAGCATTTATTATTTGTAGACTTCTTGATGATGGTCATTCTGACTGGTGTGAGGTGATACCTCATTGTAGTTCTGATTTGCATTTCTCTAATAATTAGTGATTTTGAGTATCTTTTCATGTGCCTGCTGGCTGTCTATATGTCTTCTTCGGAGAAATGTCCATTAGGTCTTCTGATCATTTTTTGATTGGGTTGCTTGTTTTTTTTTGATATTAAGCTGTATAAGCTGTTTGTATATTTTGGAAATTAATCCCTTGTCGGATGCATCTTTTGCAAATATTTTCTCACAGTCCATAGGTTGTCTTTTCATTTTGTCTATGGTTTACTTTGCTGTGCAAAAACTTATAAGTTTAATTAGGTCCCATTTGTTTATTTTTGCTTTTGTTTTCATTACCCTAGGAGACAGATCCCAAAAAAGTATTGCTGCGATTTATGTCAAAGAGTGTTCTGCCTATGTTTTTCTCTAAGAGTTTTATAGTATCCAGTCTTACACTTAGGTCTTTAATTGATTTTGAGTTTATTTTTGTATATGGGGTTAGAGAATATTCTAATTTCATTCTTTTACATGTAGCTGTCCAGTTTTCCCAGTACCACTTATTGAAGAGACTGTCTTTTCTCCATTGTATATTCTTGCCTCCTTTGTCACAGATTAATTGACCATAAGTGCGAGGGTTTACTACTGGGCTCTCTATCCTGTTCCATTGATCTATGTGTCTGTTTTTGTGCTAGTACAACACTGTTTTGATGACTGTAGCTTTGTAGTATAGTCTGAAGTCAGAGAGCATGATTCCTCCAGCTCTGTTCTTCTTTCTCAAGATTGTTCTGGCTATTTGGGGTCTTTTGTGTTTCCAAACAAATTTAAAATTTTTTTGTTCCAGTTCTTTGAAAAATGCCATTGGTAATTTGATAGGGATTGCATTGAATTTGTAGATTGCATTGGGTAGTATGGTCATTTTAACAATATTGATTCTTCCAGTCCAACAACATGGTTTATTTTTCCATCTGTTTGTGTCATCTTTAATTTCTTTCATCAGCATCTTATAGTTGAGTACAGGTCTTTTGGCTCCTTAGGTAGGTTTATTACTATATATTTTATTCTTTTTGATGAGATGATAAATGGATTATTGACTAAGTTTTTTTTGTGGATCCAAGACACCTGACTGTATAATTTTCTCTAGCAGTGTTCAGAAGCCCAGGTGTATAATGAAGGCAGATGGTTAAATTAATCTAGAGTCAAGGTTTTGCTAGACATGTCTGGGGGATGAACAAAGGGGCCAAAATAATATTACCACAATTCTCACTAAATGTTAATATGTTAATCCACTACATATTACAAGAGAATATTACATGGTAATATTACATGGTAAAGAGAGGTAAAGAGAATATTACATGGTAAAGAATATTACATGGTAAAGAATATTACATGGTGAAGGAATATTACCTTACCTATCAAGGTAGGTAAGAGGACAGTAAGAGGAATGGTAAAGAGAGGATGGGAGAAGGAGGGGGAAAAGAAAGAATGTCAAAAGGTACTGTCTAACAAAATAAATTATGAATGGTACAACTTCAGGTTTTTTTAGGAGAGTAATCCTTCCTGGAATTCCTCACATCATGTTACATATCTGTAATTTACTTTATTTTTTTCTTTTTAAGAACTTTTTATTATTTTCAGATTGATCTTTTTAAATCAACATAATAGCATCTCAACTTTCACTAAAGATACAAGTAAAAGAATTTTTTCAAGTCCCTCCCTACTTCCTGAAAATATTTCTTTTGCTGGGTGTTATTTGTGCTGAATGTTCAGATTGGTTCTTCAGTCCCTCTCTTTGAATCGCTAAGTCTTTTCACAATATCAGCATCTTTTCACCATTTACTCATGCTTTTTTTTTTAACTTTTTATTTACATTGGAGTAGAGCCGATTAACAACGTTGTGATAGTTCAGGTGCACAGCAAAGGGACTCAGCTGTACATATGCATGTATCCATTCTCCCCCAAACTCCCCTCCCATCTAGGCTGCCACATAACATTGAGCAGAGTTCCCTGTGCTGTACAGTAGGTCCTTGTTGGTTATCCATTTTAAATATAGCAGTGTACATGTCAATCCCCAACTGCCTGACTATCCCTTCCTCCCTTCCTTCCCCCGTGGCAACCATAAGTTCATTCTTTAAATCTGTGAGTCTGTTTCGTTTTGTAAATAAGTTCATTTGTATCATTTCTTTTTTAACTTCCTCATATAAGGGATGTCATACGATATTTCTCTTTCTCTGTCTGACTTACTTCACTCAGTATGACAATCTCTAGGTCCATCCATGTTGCTGCAAATGGCACTATTTCATTCCTTTTAGTGGCTGAGTAATATTCCATTGTATATATATATATATACACCACATCTTCTTTATCAGTTCCTCTGTCGATGGACATTTAGGTTGCTTCCATGTCTTGGCTATTGTAAACAGTGCTGCAATTAACATTGAGGTGCATGTATCCTTTTGGGCCATGTTTTTCTCTGAATATATGCCCAGGAATGGATTTCGGGGTCATATGGTAGCTCTATTTTTAGTTTTTTAAGGAACTTCCATACTGTTCTCCATAGTAGTTGTACTGATCTACATTCCCACCAACAGTGTAGGAGGGTTCCCTTTTCTCCACACCCACTCCAGCATTTATCGTTTGTGGATTTTTTGACGATAGCCATTTTGACTGGTGTGAGGTGATATCTCACTGTAGTTTTTTTTGGGGGGGGGTGGTTCGCAGGCCTCTCACTGTTGTGGCCTCTCCCGTTGTGGAGCACAGGCTCCAGATGCGCAGGCTCAGCGGCCATGACTCATGGGCCTAGCCGCTCCACGGCATGTGGGATCTTCCTGGACCGGGACACGAACCCGTGTCCCCTGCATCGGCAGGTGGACTCTCAACCACTGCGCCACGAGGGAAGCCCTCACTGTAGTTTTGATTTGCATTTCTCTAATAATTGGTGAGGTTGAACATCTTTTCATGTGTTTCTTGGCCATCTGTATGTCTTCTTTGGAGAAACGTGTATTTAGGTCTTCTGCCCATTTTTTGATTGGGTTGTTTGTTTTGATGATATTAAGCCTCATGAGCTGTTTGTAAATTTTGGAGACCAATCCCTTGTTGGTCACATCATTTGCAAATAGTTTCTCCCAGTCTGTGGGTTGTCTTTTAGTTTTGTTTATGGTTTCCTTTGCTGTGCAAAAGCTTTTGAGTTTAATTAGGTCCCAGTTGTTTATTTTTATTTTTATTTCCATTATTCTGGGAGACAGAATGAAAAAGATATTGCTGTGATTTATGTCACAGAGTGTTCTGCCTATGTTTTACTCTAAGACTTTTATAGTCTCCAGTCTTACATTAAGGTCTCTAACCCATTTCAACTTTATTTTTGTGCATGGTGTTAAAGAATGATCTAATTTCATTTTTTTACATGTAACTGTCCAGTTTTCCCAGCAACATCTGTTGAAGAGACTGTATTTCCACCATTGTGTAGTCTTGCCTCCTTTGTCATAGATTAATTGGCCATAGGTGCATGGGTTTATTTCTCGGCTTTCTATCCTGTTACATTGGTCTATATTTCTGTTTTTGTGCCATTACCATACTGTTCTGATGACTACAGCTTTGTAGTATAGTCTGAAGTCAGGGAGCCTGACTCCTCCAGGTCTGTTTTTCTTTCTCAAGATTGCTTTGGGTATTCAGGGTCTTTTGTGTCTCCATACAAATTATAAGACTTTTTTTGTTCTACTGTGAAAAATGCCATTGGTATTTTGATAGAGATTGCATTGAATCTGTAGATTGCCTTGGGTAGTGTAGTAATTTTGACAATATTGATTCTTCCAATCCATTAACATGGTATATATTTCCATCTGTTAGTGTCTTCTTTGATTTCTTTCTCCAGCATCTTATACTTCTTGGAGTGCAGGTCTCTTGTCTCTTTAGATAGGTTTATTCCTAGGTATTTTATTCTTTCTGATGCAGTGGTAAATGAGATTGCTTCTTGAATTTATTTCTGATCTTTTTTTTTTTTTGCGGTACGTGGGCCTCTCACTGTTGTGGCCTCTCGCGTTGCAGAGCACAGGCTCTGGACGCGCAGGCTCAGTGGCCATGTCTCACGGGCCCAGCCGCTCCGCAGCATGTGGGATCTTCCCGGACTGGGGCACGAACCCGTGTCCCCTGGATCGGCAGGTGGACTCTCAACCACTGCACCACCAGGGAAGCCCCAAACTGACCACTTCTTGATGGTCTCTGGCTTACATATTTCAAATGCCGGAAAATTGTATGAAACTAGACCTATTTCATGGTCTGACTAAAGTCAGTGTTAATAATGTCAATTTTTAAATTAACATTTTTGGATCCA